ACTTAAAACTGAAATATTAGATTGGCTTCGATCAGATGTTGATGATATTGATATGGGTTCAACAACAACAACATTTGCTTGTGCATCAACTTACTGGAACTCGAAAAATATGCTTGCTCATTTGTGTGTTGAAAATTACTTACAGTACAATAAAATGAAAGCCTATGGACCAACTTTCTTCGACCCGACCAGCCCATTGAGATCTCTGTTGGAGATCATGAAATAATACCCGCATCCACACCCAACTAAGTATATCTTTGATTATTTTCTCACCGTCAAAAAAGCCTTAACATAAACAATCATGCAATTTGCAAGGAGTTGCCCTAGTCGTCTTATAATTCTCATCAGACAAAATGAATTGCTAAAGCCAATACATTGGTAACAATGACAAGCAATAATATATGTTGAACTTCGTTATAATCTATTTAATAAGTATTATTTATGGTTAGCTGATCTTTACTAATAAAACAATGGGTTGCATTGAAACTTAACAAAAGAATAGCACTGTTTCTTATCTTAAAATTGAGCAGATAAGGATGAATGAATTTCCTTTTTTTTAAATTTCGACGACTTGATTAGCGTTACTTGTTTCTTGACAGCGAAAAAAAATCTGCATATAAGAGTAGCATGGTTTCTCTGCTGAAAATACATATAAATTTCCTTTTTATTCTCAATATATAAAAGGTATTCATGCTCATCATACATTGAAAAATTTTTCACAAGAAAATTAGTCGCCATAAAAACATTACAAAAAAAGCTAAAGTGAAAAATTAATAAAAACTAAAGATTATTGTTGAATATTTTTATTCAACGTGAATCAAATCTTTACTTTCTAATTCATCTTTATTTTCTTCAACACATAATTTTTTCATCGAACGTGTAACACGATCACTTGCAACTGTTGTTGTTGTTGAACCCATATCAATATCATCAAAATCTGATCGAAGCCAATCTAATATTTCAGTTTTAAGTATACGTGGTGCTGTTGTTGTTTCTGATTTACTTTCATTTGAATTGGCTGTTACATCAGTTATTGAGAGTGGTGGTAATCTATCATCTTGATCATGATCAAAATGTTGGTAATTTT